CTCTTTATTGGGGTTTATGCCATGTCCTCCATCTTGAAATGCCTTCTTTACCATCTCAAAATTCCACATACACTGTGAGGCTAGGCTCAAATGTCATCTCCTTAATATATTCTTTTCTAGATTTTCCAAAAGAATGTTGCTTTCCTTTCAGTGGAAGCTCATGGTATTTTATACTGAAACTCTGATTCCCTTCATATGTTAATAGTGATACTGATGATGTACACAGTACCACTGTTCACATTTCCATTGAAGAAAAGGATCACAAAATGACTTATCTCCTCATATTCAGTTTCTTCTCATACAATAGTGCCTTACACTGATCTGATATGGAGACTTTATGTTTCTATATTTTAACATAAGTGCCCACTCTTTTCGCAGCATTTCACAATCATACTAAACAGTAAGAAAACCTAAGGCAGAAAACTGCATCCCTCATTTTTAATTAAGATCAATTTCAAGAGTGAAAATGTTGCACAGGATTTACTATTAAAGCTCAAAGGCATTTAGTATTTAAAAAGCCAAATCGTAGAACATTATATACAGTTAAAATTTCACTGAATCCCTCCTGTATTTGCAAATATTATCAGATTGAACTAAACCAGAGTTTTCATAAAAACTGACATTTTCAAAAAAGCTTTATTTGCATTAATCTTTCTCTTTCTTTTCATAAGATTAAGACTGTAAATGGCAAATGGTTAAATAGGTGCACCAAAATGCTACCTGCAAGGCATTTGGCCCTACACAAATACCAAAATGCCAACTTTGAGGCATCTGGCCTAAAGTATTTATAAATCTGTCTCAGATGTTCTTACTCAAAAAGTCAGAGTTCTTTAGGGAGCTCTTTTATGTTCTTTGTATGAACACTCAACAAAATGTAGCTAGAACATTCAATATCACTCAGCAAGAATTCTAAAATTCTCTAAAACTAAAAGGGTAAATCTTAGATCATACTTAGTCATTTTATTTAGGCAACCCTGAACTTACACATAGTCAGAAGTCCTTTTGACATTTTTAGTAATTCCAGAAGTAAAATACTTACACCAATAGGTATCACATTTGTAAACTAAAATTCTCATTCTACAAACCAGACTTTTCACAAAAGTAATATTCAGCAGGAAATCTTGTTTTGTGGACGTCCTCTTCCAAAGGTTTTTATTTTATTAAAACAGATCAAAAACAGCTTTGAAGGAAGGAAGGAGACAGAAACATGATTAAAAGTCACTCTGAAACCCTGAAGGTGTGAGAACAAAAAAGTGTTGAGAGTACCTGGAGGATGGAGGCCAGAGTCTTCTCAGAAACAGTTACTGAATATCCAGAGTAAAACCAATCATGACACTTGCTGTAATGAAAGATACTGGTGGCGATAACACTGATCAAATTAGCATACAGCTACAAATATAAAATTCCAACTGTGACACAAGTATTTATCAAGGAGTTTGTGCTAGTTAGGAAAGGCTTCCCAGAGGAAATGATGATTGGTTTATCAGGTTCTGATGAGAAAAGAGAAAACACCTGAGTATTTGAAAGCATGGGACTTAAAAATGGGAATGGCTACTTGGTGACAGAAAAACTGAATACCAAATAAGGAGAGAGTGAGGAAACTCAGATATTAGCTACAGTAAAAAGTCACTACTACCTTAGGCTGGAATGACAGAGGGGAAAAAGTGGTATTAGAAGAGGCCAGGGGCTGAAGTACCAAACAGAAGTTGGAAGCACTGTGGGCCTGTCCTGGGAGAAACAAAGAGCATAGAGGAGAAAGAGCCTCTGCCAGACATGTTGTCCAAAGCAGAGGATAAGAGGAAAACCTCCCTGGCTTCCCCGGTGCTTCACTTCCCATGAGTGCTTCACTCTGGTCAAACTTGGCTGAAAGCTGGATACCCCTGAAGGCTTGACACACAATGGCAGAGGCTAGTCCTCTTAAGGCATGGAGCAGGGAGGCGGCCCAAGAACAAACCTGAGGGCAAACAAGCTAACATCTGGCACAAGCAGAGATCTAAAGAATGGGGTGGGTGAAGATGTGTGTGGAGGAGTGAGTTGGGGGGAAGGGTACACACATATCAGGATCGTGTAGTGCACAGAGAGTGTGACCAGGTATGATGGAGTAAAAGACAACCAAACCACACATGGTTTGGTTGAGAATGAGAAGCAAGAAAGAGGGCAGGGAAAACAAATAGGAACCAGACCAGGAAGGTTGACTTTGTCACATCAAAGAATTTGTTCTTAACCTAAGAGCAATAAAAAGTCATTGAGGGAGTTGGAGAATATCATGCTAAGAGAGGTAAGCCAATCCCAAGAAAACCAAAGGCTGAATGTTTTCTCTGATAGGTGGATGCTAATCCATAATGGGGGGAGGGGGACGAGTGGAGGAACTTTGGATTGGGCAAAGGGGAAGGAGGGGCAGGGAGGGGCACAGGGGTAGGAAATATGTTGAAATGGGATGGACATCATTACGCTAGATATGTGCATGATTGATTGCACAAATGGTGTGACCCTACTTTGCATACAACCAGAAGCGAAAAATTGTGCTCCATTTGTGTACAACGAAGAGTATTCTGCTAGCATGTATAACTGACAAGAACAAATTAAAAAAAGAGAGAGAAGGAAAAAAAGCCATTGAGGGACTTAAGTGGGCAATGGACAGAATTAGATCTATATTTCAGAAAATCATTCTGTCTTTTTGCTTCCAGGACATTGACTGAACAACACAACATACCAGGAATTATACTAAGTGTAGGACACATAGCATTAAAAATATAGCGTATTTGTCCCCCTGTGAAGTCTACCACCAAGTATGTAGCCTGCAGTATTATCAAAGACCTTTTAAGTATTCTTTTAGCATTAATCACTTGATTATCATCAGGGACATGAGGTTTATATTCATAATTCCATAGACTTAGTTCTCAACTCAGTAAATTTGTTGATTATCTATTATTTATTTTTTGTATTTATACATTCTCATTAATCACACCCACCTGTCTTTTCAGCTGAAGAACACTAATTCTTTTTCCCATCCATTTACTTTTATATGGCTAACTCATTTCCGTGTACCCGGGGGTACATTTTAAGTAAAACATTGAAAGACAAAATCTGGTTGACATGTGCCTTTGGCCTATCTTAGACCTTACCCTTTTTCTTAAATGATGTGATACTGAGGAGTGCATTAGATATCTTGCAATCATAAGGATAAAACTATATGAGTGACGGAAGATGAAGCCAGGCTCTTTTACTACAGCGTTGTAGTGTCTTAAAACTTCAAAGGCACATTAAAATACCAGAGGAATTAAATTTCTTTCATTCTGTATATTCATTACAATTAGTGGTTACACGCACTGAACAAATTTCAACATTTAAAAGGTGAATTTAAACCTGAAGACTATATTTATACAATGATAATGTCCTAAATTCATCATTAATTTAGTATACTTGTTTTCTAAAGAGCTATTTTCTACTCAAATTTGAAATATATCCCAAATTATCAAATCCTATTCTCTGTTATTTTGTCTTGTCTTGAAAAACTAATTCTCCTCCCTTGAGTTATTAAATTCAGACATAGGTAATTTAATGCCTGAAGACACTTAATGTTTTTGACATTTTCAATGAGATTACTAAATACAGTAACCTAGAATTCTTTCTTGAAAACTGTTAATGACATATACTAAGATCTAAAATAATAATTCAAGATGAAGGTCTTGCTAGCCTTTGTTCTAAAGTATTAAAGCTGTCTAATCTCATATCTTTGCAAATATAATAAAGGAAACTGAAAATGCCAACAGCAATGGCAAGTTACAACCAACTCGCAGTCAAAAATGTACTTAGACAAAACAACATGTTTCAATGTAGTTATGTATTTCAATACAAACTCTAAAACTGGATATTTTATTCCTCTGAGGAGCTGATTCAAGCAGCTGAGATATAACTTAAAAGAAAGTTGGGCAATGACAGTCACCAAATAAAAAAGGAAAACACCTTTAAACCTCTATTTTGACCATGTCAGTTACCAGGGTCAAAATCTTCAGCAGCTCCCACTATTTTCATCATCTCAAATTCTGTGTGCCAGGCTGCCCTCCCTTGCCAGTTTTACTTCTCCCTACTTTCCCACTCTCATCAAAATTACTTTATTCCTTCCAAGAAAATTTCTATCCCCCCCTCTGATTTTTATGTAAGGATGTTCACAACAGAAAGAAATTAAAAGTAAAAGGAACATACATAAAAATACCTTGCCATTACATGTTAAAAGATTTAGCAGCATTTTTGACTGTTAACCCTGAAATACTAGGGAGATATTAATATTAATATTGGGAAGAGAAAAAAATACATATATATGTTCATTATTTACCTATGATTCAGATTTAGCTGAGCATCGCCTCCAGTGCCTTCTTTTTAGAGGCTTTCCCTGTTATCACCAGATCTAAAAAGCCTCCTTTGTCATACACCTTTTCATGTACTTTTCTTCCCAGTACTTGTCAATCTCTGGAACTTTGTTCACTTTTTTGGCTTATAGTTTATTGCTACATTCTATCCTATAATGGGAAGCTTACCTCCCAGCCAGCTTCTAACTCCCACACCAAACCACTACCCCATGTTCATATAACAGGTATAGGATCTTTTCTTTTTTGGAATCGTCCCTCCAGCCTCCAAACAGTACCTACCACAAAATAAGTGCTCCTAAAACACCTGCTAAATGAATGAATGCTGTGAATTCACGTTTTCTCAGGCATTCAGTAAAACTATTTCCTTCTAATCCCTTACTGAAACAATTTTAAAGTTCTGGAATGAAAATCAGTCAGATTTTACTTCTTAGGCAGACAGTCTGAATATTAACTATTTTCACGTGATTTATTTTATTACCAATATTGTACTATTTTAATAAGACAATTAAGAACTGGTCATCACTATTTGCTCATGACTAAAAATAACTCTATGAATATAAAAATATTAATAAAAATATGCTTAGAGAATAAAACCTTATACAGAAGTAAAATTAAGTAAATCAATTTTACCGTCTTAATAGAACTCCTTTGTTTTTCTTCCCAAACACCACTGCTCAACTCAAGTGTGCAATGAATATTTGCTTCTCTATCATAGGATCCAAAAATGAGTAATCTGCAGTACAAAATAAAACAGGAAGAGCATTATACCGATTCTATGCATTTTTTTTTTTAAATTTCTGGTCACTATAATAATAAATACTTATTCCATTACTATTGTGGTTTATTTACAGGGGAAAAAAACAAGTCAAACCTAACATTTTGTATGCCCTCTAGTGGAAAAGCAAAGTAAAGCTAAAATTAGATGAGATCACAAGATATGCTCTTTTTCAGCAGCCAAGCCAAACAAGAAAATATTATCTACTCATAAGACACTGACCACATAGCCTTATGTAGTAAGCAAGAGTTAGAGATTTTTCAAGACTGTCGAATTAAGAATTTTAAAAGTTGCAAATCGATACAGTACACCAGCTCCACAAGAATTAAATACACAGAAGTATAATACAATTGTTTATAAACAAACACACAACTTCATCTCCTAATGTGAACCTATGCAAATTATTTACTTCTCTAAATCCAGCTGCTCCTGCAGAAAATTTGGGGTTAAAAATAATACTTACCTCTAAGAATTGTTCTGAAAGTACAAGACAATGTACAAAAGGCATTTAGCACAGTGTTTAGCAAACTCTAAGTGCTCAATGGATGTGTGTCATTTCTATTATCTTGAAAACAATTATCAATGAATGGCAACACCTAATTTCCCTTTTTACTAGGCTGTCCTAAAAAAGAACATCTGAGGTCCAATTATGAAATGATGTAAAAACTGTCTTTATTACTGAATTTAAAAAAAGAGATCCCTTATGTGTCCAACTTCTATTTTACCTATATCCTTAGAATCACACTGTAATCTTCCAATTTGTTTCAGAACAGTTTTAGCACTAACCAACATTTTGACTGTTACTCTACCACTTCATCTCTACATGAAGATTATAAATAGGAGTGAGATAATTAAGTAGATAAAATACATTAGAGAAATCTGAGAAAATTGTGTCCTGGGTTTGGCAAATCATGACATCATGTGCATACCTCACAAACTGGCCTTTTCGCATACTGAAAAGTCTGAATAAACTTATGTAGAAAAATACCTGATTTAAATAATCCTTCAAGAATCTTACAAGGAGCTTAAAACTCAGCATTTAACAACCTATTACCAAAAAGAAGGCAGGCCAAAAGAACTCATAATTTTAAAATACTAACTTCTAACTACAATTTTCATTCACCAAACTCTGCTGCCACCATCTGTTTAAAGAGTAAACTACCTCAGAGCCTTTACTACCATACAGAGAAAAGAAGGTTGGGCACCACCTAGCGCTCCCAACAGAATTCTCAGAAATTCTCCCTGAATTCATAAGCTATTCCATATTTTCCATAGTGTTTTAAAAATGCTTTTAAAAATAATTACACAAAGCATAACAAAAATTGACCAAAGACCTAAATGAAGAGCTAAAACAAAATTCTTAGAAGAAAACATAAAATCAAACCTTTTTGACCTTGAACTACGCAATGGTTTGCTAGATAAAACATCAAAAACATGATCGCCAAAAGGGAAAATAGATAACTTTGGCTTCATCACAATTAAAAAAGTTTTGGAAAGGGCACACCATGAAAATGAAAAGATAACCCACACATTGGGAGAAAATATTTGCAAATTATGTACTTGGTTAAGTCTCCAGTATCCAGGAAAAAAAAATGAAAAACTCTTACAACTCAACAATAAAAAGTCAAATAATCCACTTTTAAAACAGGCAAAAGGATCTGAATAGGTGTTTCTACAAAGATGTACAAATGACCAGTAAAGCACATGAAAAGAAGCTCAATGTTATTAGCCATCAAGGTAATACAAATCAAAACTACTTGAAATGCACTAGAATAGCCATAGTGAAAAAGGTAGCAAGTACTGGTAAGGATATAGAAAAACTGGAATCCTCATACATACTGGCGGGAATGTAAAACAGTGCTGTCACTTTGGAAAACAGTTTGGCAATTGCTTAAAAAATTAACATATGAGGGGCTGGGGTTGTGGCTCAGAGGTAGAGCACTTGCCTAGCATGCGTGAGGCAGTGGGTTCGATCCTCAGCACACATAAAAATAAAATTAAAATATTGTGTCCACTTATAACTAAAGAAAAAATATATTTAAAAAAGTTAACATATGATATGATTCAGCAATTTCACTTCTAGCTATACAGCTGAAAGAAAAGCTTAAAATATTTATATTAACATCAAAATATGCATATGAATGTTCAAAGGAGCATAATTCATAACAGCCTCAAAGTGTTAACAACCAAAATGTCTAACAAATGATAAATAGGTTAAATAAAATGTGGTATATTCATAAAATGAAATATTTTTTGAAGCAAAATGAAGTACTAGAATATGCCATAATACAAATAGAAAATGCTAAGTGAAAGACGGTCACAAAAGAACACATATACGGAATATGAAAATTTATAGATAGAAAGTAGATAAGTATGTATAACAAATTATAAGAAGCCATTGTTTATTTATTTTTTCATTATTTATCATTTATTACTTATTTTAGTTTATTTTGGGTACTGAGGATTGAACCCAGAGGTGCTTCACGACTGAGCTATAACCTACTTTCACCCACTCCCAGTTTTTCATGTTTTTGAGACAGGCTCTCACTCAGTTGCTTAGGACCTCACTAAGTAGCTAAGGCTGGCTTTGAACTTGTGATCCTCCTGCCTCACTCAACATCCTAAATTGCTACGATTATAAGCATGTGCCCCTACTCCCAGCAAGAGGCCCTGAATGAACAGACCAAGCCAAATGGAGTTATTCAAAATTAAGTACCACATAATCAAACTGAAACTTTAATGAAGCAGATAGATCCCCAAACACACCAGTTTTTCCTAAAAGCAATACATTTCAGTATATATCTGAATCAGTATAATAAGGAAGTTCCCTTAGCTTTAACCTTGACAAAAAAGCAATCTGAAGTAACCTGATGTTAATTAACCTTTTTTCCCTTCTATTGCTGTTTCCTTGTTCCCATTTCATTCTTAACAATGAAAACCCACTGTTTTACTACTGCCCGTTGGGAACTATAAGGGGTTTTGTAGAAGGGATGTCACCTGCTATTTTGTTGAATAGTTGCTGCCTTGATTCATGAACTGCAAATAAAATCCAATTGGATCTATAACTAAATTTGTCATCACTTTGTTGTCCAACAAACTTCCCAATGTTGAATTAGGAAAAACTAGAGGAGAATGGGAGGTCTGCTAATAAGTATGGGATTTCTTTGAGAGGAATGAAAATGACCTAAAATTAGATTATGATGATGGTTGCATAACCCTGTTACAAATACAGTAAAAAACAGTAAATTGTACACTTTAAATGGTAGAATTGTATGGTAGACGAACTTTATCTCAATAATGCAATTCAAAGAAAACAAATAATGAGTGATTATAATAATGAATAATCATTTTTCTGTGATAGGGTCATAATAAGTTTCAAAGATGTTAAAGGATAATAAATGCTTGGTTTACTATTATTATGAATCAATAATAATATTGCAACAAGATTATATATCTCAAAAAAACATAAACATGACCTTTACCTGATACAGAAATTTGATAATACAACATATTAAAAGGAATCTTAGGACAAAATAAATTCTCAATAGAAATCATTAAAAATATTAAAAAGATAATGACACAAATATTTGAAACTTATCATTATTTGTTTTTTCTTTTTTGCTATACTGGGGATCGAAACCAGGGCCTCACATATAGTAGGTTAAGTGTTTTACCACTGAGCTACATTCCCCAGCCAACAATTTATCATTCTTAACAATGGATGTTTAAAGCACACAAAACATTATTCATTCTATTCAAAAGTCTTTATTTATTTATTTTTTTAATGACAAATATCCCAGCAAATGGACTCTTTCGCTATTACTGACTGCTCCAATCGTATGAGTACAGGTTGAATATCTCTTATCTAAAATGCTTGGGACCAGTAGTGTTTCAGGTTTCAGATTTTTCTGATTTTGGAACATCTGCATATACCTTTGAAATGCTTAGGGAATGGAACCCAATGTCTAAACATGAATTTCATTTATGTTTTATATACACATTATACATATAACCTGAAGGTAATTTTATACATCATTTTTAGTGTTCTTGAGTTTTGACTGCAACCTGTCAATGAAGTCAGATGTGAAATTTCCCACTTGTGGGTACATACTGGTGCTCAAAAATTTTTGGATTTTGCTGCATTTTGGATTTCAGATTTGAGATGCTCAGCCTGTATTTTCATTGTTTCAGTTAAGTTTATTTTGATGTTTAATGATGAAAATATTTTGTCTGGTTGTTTAGAATTTAGTTTTGCTTTTGTAATGTATATTGATTTAACTGATTTGAAATCAGCTTTTGATTCTAGTCAAAGCATTACACAACATCTTCACATACATCACATCTTCTTTTTACATTTCTTCTGTTAAAGCACTCAGAAGGAACTGCAGCCTTTAGTAAATGTTCAAATACTAGAAAACACCAGCAAACAGTATTAATACTCAATAAAGAAAGTAACATCAGTGCTTCCTAGATAAGTTAACTTCCCTATTGCTATGGTCTGGATGTTCCCCACAAAACTCATGTTGAAGTCTAAATCTCCACTATGAGGTATTATTAAGGGAGTAGAAACTTAGTCCAACAATAATATTTGAAGGTGGAAATACTGGGAGGTAAATAAAGTTAAATGAGGCCAAAAGAGTAGGACCCTGATTAGACGGGGTTCTGGCTTCCTAAAAGGAGAAGAAACTTGAGCTAGACACTCAGTCTTCCTTACTAAGAGATCAATTTTTAGCAACACTGTTTTCGGTCATAAGGCCTGCATAAGAAGTCAAGCAGAGGCTAGTGCCATGTTCTTGGACCTCCAGAACTGTGAACAAAATAAACCTCCCACTTTCCAGCCTCAGATATTCTATTATAGCAAAAGCAAACGTACTAAGACAATTTCACAGAAACACTTGTCAAAATTGCCAATCTAATAATTTACTCCAAAATTTATCTCTTAAAAAAGTACTATTTCT